TGTCTCTATGTAGAATTGACACGCCAAAGCTGTGCTACAACTACCGCGTTATTGTTTGGACGTAATCAAAGGTCTAGGCATACTTTCATTCTAAACAAACTGGTGCAGAATCAGGAATCTAGTGCAAATGGAAATTGGATGTTTTTAACGTTTGTCATGCAAGTTGTATCGTAATGCATATGCACAATTCTTCCGGCCTATAAGATCTCAATCAAAAATTTTTTTGGATTTATATCCAAATGCTGTGATGAATAGTACCGATAATAATAATAATATCACTAATTATAATTAGAAGAAGACGACGCCGACGATTTAGGAGGAGGAGGAGATGAAATGACACAAGGGAGTGCTATTGCACGTGGTTGGAAAGGGCTAAAAAGGAATCAAGAACTGGAGTGCAAAGCGGAAATGGATTGACTTGGTTGGTTTACAGACAATTTTGCTCGTGTATCACCCGTTGGTGGATCGGCTGCTCTTCCCTTTCCCTCTAGACAGTTTATCTCTCATGGAGATCGCTCCTTCGCTCGTTTACTAAGGTTGAGATTGTTTAGTTACAAAACAAAAAAGATAAAGAAAGCCAAAGAAGAGAGGAAGGTTAGGATATTTTCTATTTTGATAAAGAAGACGAAAGAAGAGATGATAAAGATTAACCCACTACCTCCGATAATAGTAGAAGTAACTAGCAGCTTCTGTCATGTTCTCATAATAGAGTCAAACAAAATAACTGGCTGTCACAGAAAAAAACACCAACCAAGAATTTGACCACAACCAAAAAACATCTCCAACAATGTCCATGCAACCTATGTGCAATAGCCACTAGCAAAACATGAGGTGANAAGATTAACCCACTACCTCCGATAATAGTAGAAGTAACTAGCAGCTTCTGTCATGCTCTCATAATAGAGTCAAACAAAATAACTGGCTGTCACAGAAAAAAACACCAACCAAGAATTTGACCACAACCAAAAAACATCTCCAACAATGTCCATACAACCTATGTGCAATAGCCACTAGCAAAACAGGAGGTGAATNTAGAAGTAACTAGCAGCTTCTGTCATGTTCTCATAATAGAGTCAAACAAAATAACTGGCTGTCACAGAAAAAAACACCAACCAAGAATTTGACCACAACCAAAAAACATCTCCAACAATGTCCATGCAACCTATGTGCAATAGCCACTAGCAAAACATGAGGTGTAGTCCTGAAGTAGCAACTAGAGGCTAGTTAGGTTAATGAACAGGCACAGACAAGGATGCCGAAGGTCTCTTTTGGCCAAGAGAACTCACAAATCCAATCAAAATGCAACAAAAGTCTATGGGCATTACACATCAACCCTAGTCGCAATCTATCGAGAAGAATCAACCCAAAAACAGGCCTCAAATTGCTCNTTTTGGCCAAGAGAACTCACAAATCCAATCAAAATGCAACAAAAGTCTATGGGCATTGCACATCAACCCTAGTCGCAATCTATTGAGAAGAATCAACCCAAAAACAGGCCTCAAATTGCTTAAGAATCGTAGATTGCAACTTAGAACCCAAAAAAACCAAAAATCATTCAAAATTTCAAAAGACCAATCAAATGGTTTCAAAAAATTCCATAAAAATAATCATAATATTCATAGGAGGGATTCAAATTTGTTCATCAATTGACATCAACTTGTTAGATGTTGTTGTTAGCATATTTGACTGTTACCCTCATACCAAGTTAAGTTGTGAGGTTGTTAGGGTTTAAATACAAAGAGAAGAAGAATAAGAGAAGAGAGGAGTGTGTTAGGTTTGCACAACTACACCTACTATATAAATATAAAGTAATTGTTGAGAGTATTATTATGAAATTAGTTTAATATAGTTGTAATAAGTATGCCACATAAGGGGTATACTCGTACTTTGTATATTTATAAGGCAACTATAAATACAAGTCATTGGTGGGAGGTAGGTTAAGTTTGACTACTCTCTGTTTCTCTAATATTTTGTTCTAAACCTAACATGGTATCAGAGTGGTGGATTCAAAGTTATTCAGCAATTAACCCAAAGCCTTCTAATCATCTCTGTTGTCTTCCACAAGATTTTCTTTCTAACCATCGCTGTCGCCTTCTCTTCTATCTTCTTCTTTTTTGTCGCCTGTGCACTCAAGGCCATGGACTAAGGTTTCTGTCTAACCCAATGGTCGTGGGTGGTGTTATGTTGGTATCACTAGTGTCGTGGTGGTGGTGTTGGAATTGATTTACATGACTGAGTTTTTGCCGGTTGTCTTTGGTTCGCGAAGTTGCGCTTATTGTGTGGAGGTCAAAATTTGAGTTTTGTGGTTGTGGCACTCGCTGGAGGCTGGAAAGGTTGTTTGTTGTCATTGCCGGCATCCAGTGTTGGTCGTTAGTCACAGCCTGTGAGCCGCCACTGCTAGGTTTCTTATACTTGCTGTAAAGAAGGTGAAGTGCTAGACCCGACTGCACTTCAGGTTATAAACCAAGGGTTTGGTTATATTAATAACCCAAAGCCCAATTTTAATATAACCCAACTTTCCATTGTTCAAGCCCAAGACTCAACCCAATGCTCCAGCCCACTACTCAGCTCATTGCTCAAGCTCACCATACCAGCCTGTTCCAGTCCACTGTCAAGCCCACTGTCCCAGTCCAATGTTCCAGTAGGTTCAAACCCAGACTATTTCTGGTCCTGTTCGATCTGTTCCAAGCCGGTTCAAGTCTGGTTCCATCAGTTCTAGGCCGGTTCGGTCCTAGTTCCATGTTTCTTGTTCTGGTTCAGTCCCAGTTTCCTGGTTTAGCCAGCTTTCTTGCACCAGTTCAGCATNGTTCAAGTCTGGTTCCATCAGTTCTAGGCCGGTTCGGTCCTAGTTCCATGTTTCTTGATCTGGTTCAGTCCCAGTTTCCTGGTTTAGCCAGCTTTCTTGCACCAGTTCAGCAGTTTGTTCCACTTTTCTAGTCCGGTTCGGCATTCTAGCCAGGTTTTCTGCACCAGTTCAGCAGTCTAGCCTTTATATCTGGTCTGGTTCAGTAGTCCAGCCCTTCTTTCTGGACCGGTTCAGTAGTTTGGCCATCTTAGCAGTCCCGGTTCAGCAATCCATCAGTCTTTTTGCACCGGTTCAGCAGCCTCAACAGTCCATCTGGTTCGGTTCAACGTTTAGCCTAACTAGTTCGTATTGTTCTTGCATCTAATGTGGTTGTCGTGTTTGTATTTTACGTTCTAGTAGTGTTCATGAATATGAATTTGATCCCTTTTTAACTTATCTTNTCTTAGCAGTCCCGGTTCAGCAATCCATCAGTCTTTTTGCACCGGTTCAGCAGCCTCAACAGTCCATCTGGTTCGGTTCAACGTTTAGCCTCACTAGTTCGTATTGTTCTTGCATCCAATGTGGTTGTCGTGTTTGTATTTTACGTTCTAGTAGTGTTCATGAATATGAATTTGATCCCTTTTTAGCTTATTTCNTAGTTCGTATTGTTCTTGCATCTAATGTGGTTGTCGTGTTTGTATTTTACGTTCTAGTAGTGTTCATGAATATGAATTTGATCCCTTTTTAACTTATCTTTGTAAAATTGGTATTATTCATCAGACTTCTTGTGCTTACACATCTCAGCAGAATGGTGTCGCTGAGTGAAAGAATTGTCATTTGTTGGAAGTTACCTGCGCACTTATATTTTAGATGAATGTTCCTCGTTATTTTTGGAGTAATGTTATTCTCACTGTTTGTCACCTTCTGAATCTTATGCTATCTTTTGTGTTAAATGGGTACCGTCCATATTCTGCCTTTTGNCAGCAGAATGGTGTCGCTGAGTGAAAGAATTGTCATTTGTTGGAAGTTACCTGCGCACTTATATTTTAGATGAATGTTCCTCGTTATTTTTGGAGTAATGTTATTCTCACTGTTTGTCACCTTCTTAATCTTATGCCATCTTTTGTGTTAAATGGGTACTGTCCATATTCTGCCTTTTTTTCCGACACTCCCTTATTTTTCTCAACTCCTAAGGTTTTTGGGTGTCTTTGTTATGTTCACAGCTTGGGACTCGAGTTTGATAAATTTAACCCTTGTGCTACTAAATGTGTCTTTTTTGGATACNGTCCATATTCTGCCTTTTGTTCCGACACTCCCTTATTTTTCTCAACTCCTAAGGTTTTTGGGTGTCTTTGTTATGTTCACAGCTTGGGACTCGAGTTTGATAAATTTAACCCTTGTGCTACTAAATGTGTCTTTTTTGGATACTCCCGAACACAAAAAGGGTATCAATGCTGTTAAGAGTATTAAGGTATTAGGTATAATTTGTTAAGAGTATTAGGGTATTATATGTAAATATAAGAGGGTGTATTCGTCTTTCTTATTATTGTAAGTTAACTACAAATACAAATGATGTATGAAAGGTAGATTAAGTTTTGATCGCTCTCTATTTCTTCTAATATTGTGTTAATTCTCTCAACTTAACATAGTACCAGAGTNCTCCCGAACACAAAAAGGGTATCAATGCTGTTAAGAGTATTAAGGTATTAGGTATAAATTGTTAAGAGTATTAGGGTATTATATGTAAATATAAGAGGGAGTATTCGTCTTTCTTATTATTGTAAGTTAACTACAAATACAAATGATGGATGAGAGGTAGATTAAGTTTTGACCGCTCTCTATTTCTTCTAATATTGTGTTAATTCTCTCAACTTAACATAGTACCAGAGCAAAACAATTCTAAATCCAAATATTAACTCAAGTCGTCGCCGTTGTGCCTACTGTCAAAATTCCTCGTCTGGTGGTGGTGGTAGTCAATGGTTGGGTGTGACGATGTTGTCGACATTAGTGGTTTCCTGATCAATCGCAGTTGTGTGGTGTTTGGTGGTGGTGGTAGTCGCTAGTTGGTGTTAGGCCTGAGGCGTTGTCGACTGGTGTGGTGGTGTGGCACTGTCGACTAGTGCGTGGTGGTGTGGCTGACANGGTGTGACGATGTTGTCGACATTAGTGGTTTCCTGATCAATCGCAGTTGTGTGGTGTCTGGTGGTGGTGGTAGTCGCTAGTTGGTGTTAGGCATGAGGCGTTGTCGACTGGTGTGGTGGTGTGGCACTGTCGACTAGTGCGTGGTGGTGTGGCTGACGTTTGTGGTTATTGGTCATCGACATCGGTGACTTCGTCTAGTGGTGGTGGTAGTTGCTGGACATCGGCGTTGTCGACTAGTGTGGTCGATGTTCAGTAAGGTTTACACTGGTTCAGTAAGGGTTACACTGGTTTAGACCGGTTTCATTTGTTTTTTCTTTGGTTCAGTGGTCCAGTGAACCTCCCTTGTTCGGTTCAGTGGTCCAGTGGACTTCTCCTATCCAGTTCAGTGATCTAGCGGACTTTTCTTGTCCGGTTCAGCGGGCTAGTGAACTTTCCCAGTTCGGTTCAACAATCCAGTGCACTCCTCTTGCTTAGTTCAGTCATCTAGTAGCCCAACCAACCAGTAAGACTCTCGTGTTTGTTATTTGCTACACTACTATGGAACCCAAACAAGATGCTAACGCCCTTGCTACATCTTTACTACCTACCTTTGCTTCTCTGATTCTTCTTAATGGTCCCATGACTTCTGTTAAACTCAATAGGACCAATTACACTTTATGGTCCCACTTCGTTCAAGTCTTTCTTCAAGGCAAAGGTTTTAAGTAATATTTGGTTAATCCTAAACCCAAGGAAGACAATCATGAGTATGATCAGTGGGAACAAGAAGATGCTCAGATTATCTCTTTATTGTTGAATAGCGTTGAGCCTAGTATTAGCTCTACTCTGCTCTATCTTGACACTGCCAAAGAGAAATGGGATCACTTGGTCACTATATATTCTGGTATAGGTAATTACCGTAATTTTACTCGAGCTTATGAGGTGTGCAAGGAGTACATACGGCTGGACCAGGGTACTCTGAGTATTGAGGATTATTACTCTCACGTTCGGGGAGTCTGTGAGGAGATGAAGACCTACCATCTGTTTATTACTAATGCGGCAGTTTGGTAGAAGCAACATAAGGACATGAATGTTGTTAAGTTTTTGGTAGGATTGAAACCTGAATATGAGACTATTCGTTCTCAGATTTTGGGTGGTTCTAGTCTTTCCTCACTTCTTGAGGTTTTCTCTCGTGTATAGCGTGCTACTTTGTCTACTTCAGGCATCGATCACGGTGTCTTCATTGATCACTCAGCTTTTATGATTCCTAGTAGCCACAGTGATGGTCATCGAAGTGGACGTGGTGATCAAAGAGGTCGTACGGGTGGTCGTGGGGGCCGTAGTGGACCTCGTTTCTGTACTCACTGTGGTCGTGGAGGGCACACTGTTGATTTCTGTTGGGATTTATATGAAAAATCTTCTGGTGCTGTAAATCAGACTTCCTATCAAGATAACACCTCTATTGTTGCTTCCACACCTTGGTCAGCTCCACCAGACACTGGGTTAGTTACTATTACATGAGAAGAGTATGTTCAATTTTTGTCCCAGTAGCTATTCCATCTTTCTCCATTGCTATTTTTGCCCAGTCAGGTACTGCTTCCACTTGTTTATTGTCCTCTACTCACAGTCCCTAGATCATTAACTCTGGCGCTTCTGACCACGTGATTGAAGTGTCTGATGTTTTTTATACTTATCAGTCTGCTACTTCTACACGTAGTGTTACTCTTGCTAATGGTACTTGTTTTAAAGTTTTAGGTTAAGGGACTACTCACTTGAGTCCTGATATGTCCCTATCTTTTGTGTTATTTATTCTTCAGTTTCTTTTTAGTTTACTTTCCATTAGCAAGATTACCCGGTCACTCAATTGTTCTGTAATCTTTTATTTCTCTTACTGTGTCTTTCAGGATCTCAAGACAAAGAGGAAGATTGGTACGGGGTATGAAGCTGGTGGTCTATATTACATTGATTTTGATTCATCTACTCGGGCTGTACAGACCTCGTTGTCTCCTTTTCAATGGTATTATCGTCTTGGACATCCCTCTCTCCAGAATCTGAAGTGCCAAGTTCTTAGTCTTTGTTATATGTTATCTTTGTCTTGTGAAACTTGTCAACTTAGTAAGTATCACTGTGTCATTTCAGTCTAGGGTTAATAATCGTGTGTCTAGTCTATTTGAGTTGGTACATTCTGATGTATGAAGTCTAATAAAAAATATTTTATCTAATAAATATCCTTATTTTGTGTCATTTGTGGATGACTATTCTCGTGTGATTTGGTTGTTTTCTATGAAAGTTCGATCTGAATTATTCTTTATATTTGAGATTTTTCGTAAGGAAATAAAAACTCATTATGGTTGTCGTATACATATTTTGCGTTCTGATAATACTCGAGAATATGAATCTGATCTTTTTCAGCTTATTTTAGTAAAACTGACATTATTCATCAGACTTTCTGTGCTTACACCTCTCCACATAATGGTGTTGCTGAACGCAAGAACAGTCATTTGTTGCTCTTTGAAAAGGTCATCGTTCGTGTGTTACTAATCATCCCATTGCTCATTTTATTTCACATGATACCTTTTTTCCTGTCTTCTCTTATTTTACCTCTCAATTATCTACTATATCTATTCCTAAGCACTTACAGGATGCGTTATCTGATCCGGGTTGGAGGAAAGTTATGGAGGAGGAGATGGATGCCTTACATCATAATGGGACTTGGAATCTCGTTCCTTTACCTCCTGGAAAATGAATTGTTGGTTGTTGTTGGGTGTATACTTTTAAATTTATCCGGATGGTTCTGTAGAGTGTCTTAAAGCCTGGCTTGTCGCAAAGGACTTTACTTAGACCTATGGTGTTGATTATGAGGAGACTTTTTCTCTTGTTGCCAAAATTCTCTGTTCGTATCTTGATATTTTTGGCTGCTAATCTTGATTGGCCTTTGTTTCGGTTAGATGTCAAGAATGCCTTCCTACATGGTGATTTGCTTGAAGAGGTATACATGGAACAACCACCTGAATTTACTGCTTAGGGGGAGTATGGTAAGAGTATATGTCGGTTAAATAAATTTTTATATGGTTTGAAGCAGTCACCGAAGGCATAGTTTGGTAAGTTTTCAGATGCAGTTTTAGAGTTTGGTCTTCTTTGATGTCAAACAGACCATTTTGTGTTTCATAGATAGACGGATGCTGAATATGTTTTATTGGTAGTCTATGTAGATATTGTAATTACTGAAAATGATTCTGAGGGGATTGCCAAGTTAAAAATCTTCTTGCGGGATTGATTTCATACTAAAGATTTGGAAAAACTCAGGTATTTCTTGGTTATTAAAGTGGCTTAATTTAAACAGGGTATTTGTTTATTCCAAAGGAAATATGTACTTGACATGTTAGTGAAAATAGGTTTGCTAGGTGGCAGATCGATTGATGTTCCTATGAATCCGAATTAGAAACTATTGATAGATGATGGTGCACTGTTTGAGAATTCGGATCAGTATCATAGATTGGTTGGGAAACTCAATTATCTCATTATTACTCGACCAGATATTTTCTATGCAGTCAGTATAATAAGTTAATTCATGGAGTGTCCTAGAGTACCACATTGGGAGGCAGTTGTTCGTATTCTGCGATATCTCAAACGTACTCTTGGACTTAGACTGGTGTATCGAGTTATTGGACATCTTAGAGTAGAAAGTTTCTCAGATGTTGATTGGGCTCATTCTCTTTTTGATCGGAGATCAACCACTGGTTATTGTACTTTCTTAAGAGGTAACGTTGTTTCATGAAAAAGTAAGAAACAATCTATGGAAGTAAGATTCAGTGCTGAGGTTGAGTATAGGGCAATGACGCATATGACGAGTAAGTTGACTTGGCTACTACACTTTTTTCAGAAAATTGGATTTTCAGTTCAACCTCCTTTACAATTGTTCTGTGACAGCCAAACAACTATCTATATTGCTGTTAATCTAGTGTTTCACGAGAGAACCAAACATATTGAGATTGATTGTCACTTTATTTCAGACAAGATGGAGATTACGACTCTGTTTGTGAAATTTGAAGATCAGTTTATAGATATGTTTACTAAAGCATTGAGTCGTACACATCTTACAGCAATTTGTTCAAAGCTTGGATTATATGATATATATAGTCCGGCTTGAGGAGGAGTGTTAAGAGTATTAGAGTATTTTGTGTAAACTGTTAAGAGCATTAGGATATTATGTGTAAATATAAGAGGGTGTATTCGTCTTTCTTATTATTGTAAGTTAATTATAAATATAAGTGATGTATGAGAGGTAGGTTAAGTTTTGACCACTCTCCGTTTTTTTTAATATTGTGTTAATTCTCTCAACTTAATAGATGCTATAGTCCTATCCTTTGTCGATACTTTATTAGTGCTGATGTCACTTTTAATGAATCTATTTCGTATTTTTTGGCACTTGCTCAGCCTTTAGATCTAGGCTTTGGACTGTCCACTACACCACAACTCTATCCTTTACTGTCGGTTATTTCACTGCCTACTGTGCTACCATCTACTATCTCGCTCTGCATATACTCCTGTTGTTTGCGATCATCGACTAAGGGGCCCCTCCCGTTTTCCTTGCCGTCTCATAATCCTAGTCCCTCAGGTATTTTTGATTCTTTACCTATTGCTCTTCGGAAAGGTACTCAATTATGTGTTACTAACCATCCCATTGCTAATTTTGTTTCTTATAATGCCTTGGTTCATGTCTTCTCATAATCCTAGGGTGCGTAGTCTGATTCGGGTTAGAGGAAAGTTATGGAGTGAAGATGGATGCCTTACATCATAATGGGACTTAAGATCTTGTTCTTTTACCAACTTGTAAGCGGACTATTGGTTATCGATGTGTGGATACTATTAAATTTAATTTGGATAGTTTTGTTGAGCATTTCAAAGTCCGTCTTGTTGCTAAGGGCTTTACTCAAATCTATGGTGTTAATTATGAGGAGACTTTTTCTTTTGTTGCCAGGATCTCCTTTGTTCGTGTATTGATTTTTTTGGCGGCTAATCTTGATTGATCATTATTTTAATTAGATGTCAAAAATATCTTCATACACGGTGACTTGGTCTAGGATGTCTAGATGGAGTAGCCACCTATGGGGAGAGTATTGTAAGAGTGTGTGTCGATTAAAGAAATTTCTGTACGAGTTGAATCATTCACCGAGAGCATGGTTTGGTAAGGTTTTCGATGCAGTTTTTGAGTTCGGTTTTCGTCGATGTCAGATAGACCACTTTGTATTCTATAGACAGACTAATGTAGGATATATT